AGGTTACAGAATAAGAAGAAGAGTGCTGTCCATCAAGGACAACTTTTATACTACGATTGGAAAGAAAGGATTCAATAATCTTAAAGATGTTTCCAGATACACCATAAGAAGAAAGCTTACGGAGGAGACCAGCATGCCAAACTTAATAAACGCTTTAAAAATGTCAAGAGCAATGGCCTTAACCTCTCCACCTTTATCTAATGCGCGATAAAACCTATCGGTTATTACTGTTAGCAAATCAGTCGTAGAACGAGAAGATCGAAATCCATACTGATGATCAGAAAGTAGGTTATGAGATTCGAGATGAGAGATTAAGTGTTTGTTAATTAAAGTTTCAAAAACCTTGCTTATGATAGGAAGAAGACTAATGGGACGGTAGTTAGATGAGTCAGATCGCTGTCCAGAATTTTTAAAAATAGGGATAACAGATGCTGCTTTCCAGAAGGCTGGAAAACAAGACTCTGATAAGCACTTCTTGAATAGTTTTGAAAAGATAGACGACAGCTCAGGAGAACACTTCTGCAAGACTATTACAGGTATGTTGTCCGGGCCGCAAGCTGTAGAAGAGTCTAAGCAGGAAATCACTTTAGATACAGAAGCTGGAGTGATACGAATGTCGAGCAATGGATCAACCTGTTTGACGGCTATATCAGGTAGAACGCAACTAGTGGAATCAAGAGATGATATTGATGAAAAGTTCTTGGCAAACAATTCAGCTTTGTCTTTAGGTGAGGTGACAAAGTCTGAACCATACAAAAGAGGTGGAATTACAGACTTGCCCTTATTATTGATACTATTAAAGATTCTCCAGAAGTCACGAGAGCCTAATTTTTGTGATGAAATACGAGATTTCATGATCTGAGAATAACGGGCTCTGGCATCAGACAAAACCTTTTTACAATGGTTCCTAGCAGTAATAAACAGACGTCTGTTTTCTGGAGAATTGTTTTGCTGATAGATATGGAAGTAATGGTTTTGATTGGCAATTGCAGCAGCACAATGTGAGGAAAACCATGGAGAAGAGTAGAGAGGGAATAAAGGATTCCATGCCAGCCTGAATCCACGAAGTTATGTAAGAAGCACATTTGTCAACAGGGAGACGAAAGATTTCTACCCAGGGGCCATCACGAAGAAAGTCACGAAAAGAGTCCCAGTCAGCTTTAAGGTAGTTGTAAGATGTACGATGATAGGGGGATTCTAATGGTGAACAAGACTTAAGTCGAGTAGAGAAGGTAAATGATTCGGGTTGTCTGGAAAGCAAGTTGGAAAGTTGACTATTTGAGCTAGGGATTGAGAAAGACAAAAGTTGTGGGCCTTAATGCCTGCAGAGTCGATGACACTAGAGCCAAGCCATTCAGTGTGATGAACTTTAAAGTCACCGACAACAACAATATTGGCTGATGGATAAAAAAAGAGGGCTTGGTCAATATAATCAGAAATAACATCAAGAAGAGTGCAGTCTTGGGATGAGGGAGAGGGATATAGAACAAAGAGAAAGGTGATAGAGTGAAGTGGTGCTAAACGAAAGCACATAAAAGAGTAGTCTGTGGATTCAAACCTAGTTTCCCGACAAATGGGTGAATTCTTACGAATGTAAATGCCCAGGCCAAGCATGTGACTATTGGAGTCTTTACGAATAAAAGGAAGATAACTATCAACACTAAGATCACAAGATGAGACAGCTGAACTCAAATTAGTCTCACAAAGAGCAAGCAGGTCTGGTGAACTTTGCAAGAGATAAGACTCAACAGAAGAAAATTTACTTCGAAGACCACGAATATTGGTGAATGATAGGTTTAAAGAACTTGGTGATGACTGTGGTTTTTTGTGTTTTATAGTTTTTGTTACTTTATTTATTTTTAAATTTGTTAAAGAACTTGACTCGAAACATTGATAGTACTCAGTACACTGTTCTATAGCTCAAGCAATTGCCTCATTTCCACTAATAAACCCTAAGCCGTAACAAAGGGCTCCAATGTGGCCTTGGCAATGCACACCAAAAGTACAAACAGGGACACCATCCATGCGCAACATGGCACTGTTAGTACTCTGATATTTTTCAGCTGTTGATGGAATTAGCCTCTCTGAGAGCTACCACAGAGTTCGGGAAACCTGACTACCAGCCGGCCTCAGAACCATAAAACTGAGTTTTAGAGCTGTACCCTCATTTGGAGATAATAGAATGAGTTGCCTAGTCATAAAAACAGAGACACAAGCAAAACCCATGAATCGAGTCAAGAAGATCCAGCGTTCAACATCCTAAACTGGAAACAATGTATTAAAAATACATCTGCGCCAGCCTAATAGATGACGAAGGGGTGCAAGGCTGGTCAACAGATAGAATCTGTTTACCCCTTAAGTCTTTGCCTAGAAGGCCTTCTACAAGACAGCAGCTGGATGCATGTAACATCTGCCCAAGATGAGTATTTTTATCGAGACACCATCTCTAGCCTTTACTCAACCAAGAGCCCCAAGGCAGGGGGTGTTTTATGTCGGAGTTGGCATCTCCTAGCCTTTGCCTTAAAAGGCATATCCTACAAGGCAGCAGGACATGAAGCAGATTGTACTGGGTTACATGTTACCAGTAGCAGGATAAACCTGACCTGACAACAATATATATAAATATATATATATAAATATATATAAATATATATATATATAAATATATATAAATATATATATATAAATATATATATATAAATATATATATAAATATATATATATATATATATATATAAATATATATATAAATATATATATATATAAATATATATATATATATATATATATATATATAAATATATATATATATAAATATATATATATATATATAAATATAAATATATATATATAAATATATATATATATATATATATATATATATATATATATATATATATATATATATATATATATATATATAAATATATATATATATATATATCTATATATATAGTAAGTCAAAAAAAGTCTCACCGTTAGATGAGTTTTCAATAAAAAAGAACTTTTGTATGCTTAAATTTAAATTTTTTATCCAAATTTTTTGTTTTTTTATTAAATTTACAAATAACATTTTTAAAAAAAGAGATTCATGTTTTTATACTTAAACAAAAATTATCCGAAAAATCAGAAAAAGTACCAAAAAATTATTCCTTAATAAAAAAAAAAGTATATCAGTCCTTAATAAAAAAAGTATATCTTTTCTTAATAAAAAAAAAGTATATCAGTCCTTAATAAAAAAAAAGTATATCATTCCTTAATAAAAAAAGGATATCATTCCTTAATAAAAATAAATATATCACTCCTTAAACAATTATTTTGCTAATATAAAGTTAATATTTAATTTGTGCACCTTTTGCCTTAATGATTGCAACATCTTTTAGGCATTGAATCTACTAGGACAATGTTTTTAAACCATTGCAGATCAAATTTTTTCCACTTCTTAATGAGAATTGATTAAAATTGCGACTGGATGGCCTTTGATCAGCTACTTAAATTTTGAAAAGTATATAAATAAGTATATAAATATATACTTAATTATATACTTTTAAAGTACACTAATAAATATATAAAGTATATAAATAAAGTATCAATTAGATTTAGGTCTGGTGACTAAGGAGCCTTAAATCTTGATACTGTTTTTTTTTTGAACCATAAGTAGCTGACTTTGACGTGTTTTGGATTTCCAGCCTGTTAAAAGGTAAAATTACAACATAAGCCAGCACTTCTGGCGCTTGATCTCAGTTTTTGTTTCATAATACCAGTATAAACCTCTTTTGTCATTATTCAGTCAATGAATTTGAGTTTGCTAACACTACTCTGAGCAAATGAACCCCAAACTATCATTTGTTCTTATATAAATAGGAAAAAATAAGTTAGAAGTGTGTATAGTAGAATATTGAAACATTATAATAAAGCTTAATAGTGCCTCCTCCATGTTTGACAGTTGTTCTCATACATTTAGGATTTAAGCACTATTAGGCTAAACATTTACTGTTTTAGAAATAGTTTTTTATCTTTTCCATCTTTACAGTGTCCCAAGATCAATTTTTTTATTGATTTGTGAATTTCATATTTTTTCACCATGATCTTATTATAAAGAACTACAAAAGAAATTTTTTTTTGCTGAAAAGTTAGTTTTAATATCTTTAATCAAACAAATTTGTTTCTTTTACAGGTTTTTTTCTGCAATTTTACTTATACAACAGAAAAGTAAAGGGGAGACTTTTTTGATTAACACATATTTAGGGGTGACTTTTTTGATTAACACATATTCAGGGGTGACTTTTTTGATTAACACATATTCAGAGGTGGTTACACTTTTTTAATTTAAACTTTTTATGATTCAATAGATAATTTTTGTTTTAAGTATAAAAATATGAATTTTTTTTTATACAAATGTTATTTAACATAAATTCAATGTTAAAAAAAAAAATTCAAAAATATTACAAAAATTTGTTTTGATTGAAAAATCATCAGAGGGTAATTTTTTTGTCACACTGTATATAAAAAATGTTAATAACATTAATTATCTTAATATAATGTTAGTTTTAGTTTCATAAATAATACTCATAATGTATTATATTATACTATATTATACAATACATAATAGATGCAATACATTACATTGCCATAGCTAGAGTCAAAAGTGTGTCTTGTTAATTTGAAATGGTTCTATTAGTGTTCCTTGAATTTACTGCCAAAACATTGAAACAAAATGTGAAAGTACAAGAAAGTTCTTACAGATTAGAAAAGAGAAACAGTAAAAAAAAGGTGAACTTACAAAGTGAACTAGTAGGATTTCTCACAACATTTATTACCAAGAAAAAATAATGTTATTTTTTTACTAGATGGAATAAAAGTTGATATAGTGCTATAAACAAACCAGATATATTCAAAACCTTTAATATTCAGTGCCATTTTTTAAAATTAAACAAGATCAAGGGGTGGACGCAGGTTATCTACAAATCACACACAAAAAAAAAAAAAAAAAATCATACACTATTGTTACGTTGAGTAACATTGTGTTCTTGACAAGCTTTATTAGATAATATGGCGTTAGCAGCTTTATTAAGATTCCCATGAGCATATGCTAATGAACGTCTAAGTTGGTCTTCAGGAATACTTGGATATAGGTCTTTTAACCTTTGCAACTTATCACAATAACTAAAAAATAGTAATTTAAAAACAATAAAATTATTTTTTATGGTATTACTTATTCAACTAATTAGTAACTAAATATTCAGCCAGTCAGTAACTGTTATACCATATATATGGTATTTCAAATGCTGTTGAGATCCAGGCAATATCTATGACAGCTAATACATTGTTTTATATTCTATATCATTTATATTTTATATTTATATTTTATATTATCATACTTTTATATTCTATTTACAAATTTTTAACAATTCATGTTTCTTGTTTAGTTTCATTTGTAAATCAATCCTTACTTTATTTTAATTCTTATTTTATTCTTCAATCAGTAAGATTTTTATCTCCTTTATTCAATCAGTTAGAAGATTTTTATTTCCTTTATTCAATCAGTTAAAAGATTTTTATCTTCTTTAATCAATCAGTTAGAAGATTTTATCTCTAAATTCTGTCATTTAATTTTTAATTTAGCTTTTAATTTTTCTCAAACAAATTATGCTGAAATTTTCCTAAAATTTATCAATAACTTAAACCTATTATTTAAGTTTTTATTTTCATTCAAAACTAAATTTATCACTTTAAGTTTTTATTGCTTCATTTATATTTCATCTATGCCACCATATTTCACTGTGCCACCAAATATTTAATATTTATTGTTTTATTTCATTTATTGTCATACTTTAGTTGCATCTCACCTTAGTTTTTTTTGAGAATTTAAGTGGGTACTTGATAATTCATTAGATGGTACATTTTCTGTTTTTTTGTTTATGTTACTACATTCCATATTCATTGTTTCAGAAAGTAGCAGATTTGACATTAAATTTGTGGAGACGACAACCTTTTCTAAAATAAAAATAGAGCAGATAAAATACACTTTAATAGAAAATCTGAATAGAAATTGATGTCTGATTATATATTTATATTATATATAATTAATATATATATATATATATATATATATATATATATATATATATATATATATATATATATATATATATATATATATATATATATATATATATATATATATAAAGGGTCTATTTTAGATCGTTTTTGACAGCGTCGACCATATTTGGGTGCCGCCTAAATTAAAAATCAAGGACCTTTTTTTTTTTCTTCTCTGGGAGGGAGAGGTACTGCCGCCCATATTTTTTTCCTAGAATAGCCCCTGTTATATATATATATATATATATATATATATATATATATATATATATATATATATATATATATATATATATATATATATATATATATATATATATATATATAATTTCTCAAATAAAAACCTTGAGGATAAATGCTGCTCTAAAAAATTACAAAAGCATTCAAACATAACAATGGCTTTGTTAGACTCCCAAAAGTTTTTGTAAAAAAAAATTTCTACTAACAACAACAATATTAAGTGTCTTCTTGAACAAAATTACTAAAATTTTAATTTTTTTTTAAATTGAATAAATAAACATTGTTAATAATAATACTTTATTGTTAATATTTTATCTTCCCTTACATTTAATGTTCATTGGGTAAAAAATTTTTCTTGTGTAGAAAACTGTTTAAACAAAAAATCATATTATTGAAAAAACATCCTTAAAAAACACCAGCTTCAACATATAACATCAATCAGTATTTTCAACTTTATCTTGCGTATATTCTTTATCTTATAAAGCATTATTCTTATAAAGCATTATTCTTAGTTCTTCAAAAATTTTAAAAAGCAAAAATAACATTCAAAAAGTATAAGAAAAAGAAAGAAAACCTTCTTCAGGACAAACTTGCTCAAACTCAGTTTTTGTTTGTATATTCTTTTTTAGTGTAATAGTACCTGCTTCGATGCGTTTTGCCAAAGAAAACATCCAGTTTATTATACTGGCACTAAAAAGATTTATATATATATATATATATATATATATATATATATATATATATATATATATATATATATATATATATGTATATGTATATATATATATATATGATATATATATATATATATATATATATATATTATATATATATATATATATATGTATATATATATATATATGTATATATATATATATATATATATATATATATATATATATATATATGTATATATATATATATGTATATATATATATATATATATATATATATATATATATATATATATATATATATATATATATATATATATATATATATATATATATATATATATATATATAAAGTACTGGTTAAAATTATGGCACAACCTCTTAAATAAGATTGTCATGTCAAATTTTTGTATGCATTAATCATATTGTTGAGAGGTACTGTATTTTTGAAATGCGTTTACATTTGTCATTTAAAATGCGCACATAAAATTAAAAATTTTGCTCATTATTTATCTTAGAAATGAACTATTTTACAGACATATACAAAAAATGTTGGTCAAATTTACAGCACACTCACATTCATGCGTAATTTTAACAGTCTGTAAGATTAAATGCATTGCATTTAATCTTGCAGACTAATATAATAAAAACACAAGAGATTTTTCATCCTTAAGAGAATTAAAAATTTATTTATCAATTAAATTTTCTAATGAATCAGCCTCATTTTCTAATGAATCAGCCTCATTTTCTAATGAATCAGCCTCCAACAAATCCATGAGGCAAAATAAGAAAAAGTGTATATTATTGGCGCATTGTTGTGTATATTTTATTTATCTAATAGCATCATAGTTAATTATTTAAAATAGCAAATCTTATATTTTTTTAATTTTAGAACAAGAGCACAAGGTGGTGGTGGAATTATTTCTGTATAGGGATGTTTTTCTGCAAATGGAATAGGTTTATTGGAGTTTTTTAAAGGTCATTTGAATGCTTCTCATTATTTAGAAGTTATTGCTGAATTACCTGACTAAATGGACTCTCTTTTTGATTCTGAAGCTGAAAATTATTATTTTATGCAAGACAATGCACTTTGTCACAAAGCAAAAAAAACTCTGGAATGGCTTGCAACGAAGAATATTCAGCTCCTAGAATGGCCACCCAGTTCATCAGATGCAAATCCGATTGAAAATCTTTAGTCAATTATTGATCAAAAACACAAATGATTTAAAGGATTCAAGACATTTGGGGCAAGACTTCAATTGATCTTTGCATTAAATAAGTAAATTTTGTTCCAGATCGTATTTCTCGAATTTTTATAGCTAAAGGATCCAACATTTCTTCATATTAAATGAAATTCTAATATTTTTTTTATCTAAAATTAGTACTATATGTGCTATAATTTTGACCAGCTTTTTTTTCTGTATTATTCCTAAGAGAACTTTAAAACATGTTAACTTTATATGCATTTTCAATTTTCATTCATTTTTGTAAAAAGTAAAATGTTATTCTTCAGATAAAAAATAATTATAACTTTTCATTCAACTCTCCACTAAATTTTTAACATTTAACTTTTAATTTACATTTGTGCTATAATTTTGACCAGTACTTTATATATATATATATATCTATATCTATATCTCTCTCTCTATATATATATATATATATATATATATATATCTATCTCTCTCTCTCTCTCTCTCTCTATATATATATATATATATATATATATATATATATATATATATATATATATATATATATATATATATATATATATATATATATATATATATCTATATATATATCTATATATATATATATATATATATATTATATATATATATATATATATATATATATATATATATATATATATATATATATATATATATATATATATATATATATATCTATATCTATATCTATATCTATATCTATATCTATATCTATATCTATATCTATATCTATATATATATATATATATATATATATATATATATATATATATATATATATATATATATATATATATATATATATATATATATATATATATATATTTAAACAATTTAAAATATATTCTACAAAAAGAGTGCTCAATGTTCTTAAAAGAACAGAGCAATTACAAATTAGTAGAAAATCACTTAGCAAAATTTTTTCTCATTTAACAGTGTTTCATCAATAAAGACTCATCAGAAATGAATGATCAAATTAATAAAACTTCAATTTATACCAAAAATTAAATTACAGGAAGTCACATGTCTTAACTACTGCAATTTTTTACACATTTGTGTAATTTGCTGACACTATTGTAAAAAGAATTCTTTAGAAATGATTACTTAAGCTTTTTTAAAAAATAATATATTTTTTTCAAAGGGGAGTTAATGTAACTATTATTTGAGCTCACTTATTTTTATAGTTTTTTAGGAGAAACTTATTTTCGTGACTGCATTTAGAAATCAATTATATTTTGACAACATGGTGTCTTTTGAATACTTTTTATTTTTAAAAGATTGCTTATGATTGGCAAAACGTTTTTTCCATTCACCTTCTTTTATGCCAACATATTGTTTATCAGGTACATTCTTAGAGGAGACAACACATTTATATACCACATTTTTTGATAAGCAACTTCCACTCATTGGACAATTGTTTTTTTGTTTACAATTACAATTTTCTGTAGTTTTTTCATTTTGAATTTCATTTTTGTTTAACAAAGCATTGTTGTGACCTTTTATAATTCTTTCCATATTTTTTGTGCAACTGTAGCTAACTTTAATAGTATATTTCAATTAAAAATTTTATGTAATTTATTAGAGGGCGGGAAATGCTTATCGAACAATTTTAAAAACACTTTTCCTATGTTTGTGGAAACATTTTTGCTATATGGGGGATTGAACCAAATTACATTTCTAGTTCTATTTCGCTTTTTTGTATTCTTTTTTTCAGGGTCAAATTTTAATTCAAAGTTTTCAAAACCACTTTTTTTAAAGGCATCTTTAAATATCTGTTTGGAGGAATTGAATACATTTTCATTAGAGGAGTTTAGGTTAAGCCTGTTATTAATTGAAATCGGGATTTGTTTTAGAATTTGGGGTGGATGATTTGAGTTAATATTAATATACAATAATTCATCGTTTGGTTTTTTGAAAGGCTTATATGTATTTTCCATATTATATGTATTAAATTATATAAATTTTTTTCATAAATAAAAAGATTACCTTATTAAAGAATAGAGAAAAATCATAATTAATAGAGTTTGGTTTATTAAAGATTATCACTTCATTTATTTAAATATCTTTATAATGCAGGATATAAAACTAAAAAAAATAATAATTAAAAAACAAAACCAATAAAAATAAGACCAAAAAAACTGAGATGCAAAATGTGCACCAATTATTTTTTAAGCAGATGTTGAATAATTGGTACACTGCTATCAGAAAGAGTTATATACTTAATTTATAAATCAGAATAAATATTTGAATTACATAGGTAATTTGCTTTAAAAAAACACTGATTCAATTATCCGAAGAATTTCAATTATAAAACAACTTCAAAGTTGAATGTTATTAATTTTGAAAGTTCTATCAATTAAACAATCTATGAAGACTTACTTATCTATTGAAGTTTCAAGAATTACTTATCTATGAAGACTTACTTATCTATTAAGTGAAGTTTCAAGACCCAAACCTTTTCTGTATATAAATGTATAATTGTTTTGGTGGTGCTCCCAGAAGTCCTTAAATTAAGGTTAATTAGTTTTTAGTTTCTTTTTCTTTTTTTACCACACACAGACACACACACACACACACACACACACATATATAAAGAAAACAAAACTAATAAAATACACATTTCTTGAGGAGAAGATTTTAAGTTAGCTATATTTTTCACAATAGAATCAACATGCACATTTATACATCAACATGCACTACTATATACAAATATTATTTATCTTCTTCATAATCTAAAAAAAAAAGAAAAACCTCCTAGATTGTACTGACTCAGTCAACCTTAGGAGAAAAAGTTATATACACAATTTTAATTTAAAGTTTCAACTTGGATGATTTTTTCAAAATAAATTCAACGAAAAAACTTTCATTTTACAACTGTTAACTTTCATGAAAAAAAATCATTAAAAATGATAAAAACACAAGAGATTTTTCATTCTTAGAGAATTAAAAATTTATTTATCAATTAAATTTTCTAATGAATCAGCCTCATTTTCTAATGAATCAGCCTCCAACAAATCCATGAGGCAAAATAAGAAAAAGTGTAAATTATTTACCATTTTTGAATTGAAAAGTTTTTTGAAAAATATCATTTTTTTTTAAAAAAAAAATTAAAAAAAAAATTCATATTTGCCTTTTAAAAATAAAAATTATAAAATGGAAGAATTTATTTATTTTAAAAAAATATAAGATGAACTATTTGCAGAAAATCTGCAATTAGTTCATGTTTTATTTGCAACCAATAATTTATTAATAATTGAACACATAGTCCAATAATTAATTATCATTAAAAACAAGAATAATAAATAATAAATAAAGTCCAAAAAAGTAATAGCCATGCTCACTTTAGCAAAAATAAATATAAAATTTAACAATATAATATTGCAACCTTTAAAACACTGGTTATGGTCACTTATATGAACATGCATGTTATCACTTTTATTAGTAAATCCTTAAACATTCTAATTTTGGTCAAATATTTGATTTAACAAAGGATAAGTTTAATTCTAAATTTAGTAAGCATTACAAGTTAATTCCAATAAACTTAGTAACCATTTCATTTGTGATTCATCAAGTGCCCTTATTCTGTGTCCAAAAAAAATGATCACTATATAAATTTTCTTTTAGACAAGCTTTAAAAGACAAGACTAACAAGTGAATGGGGTGCTACTTGAGTTTTAAACTTTAAACCTCTTCAAATGAAGAATAGTATTCTATAGATATGTCAGTAAAAAATATAACAACTTGATTTTTAACAAAGTACTAATTTATACATATCATTTTATTAATAATTATCAAATATAACTTAACCTGTTTATATTTTCAAAACCAGGAATAAAGTCTGTCATCATTGCAGTAAACTCGTCAATATCAAAACTTGTTTCAACATCATTTGAATTCTTTCCAAGACTTTCCAAAACTGTAACCAAATACTCTAACAAAATTTCATCCACACAACTAAAATTACAACAGGTGTTTTGTTTTGTTTATATATATTAATTTCAATAATTTATATACATCAATAACAAATAAATTTCTTTATATCCATCATTAATAAATAAATCTCTTACCTTAAATCACAATCTGTGTATTCAAATACAAATTTCTCAAGGGCATTTCTAGCATAATCTTTTATTATATTAGAAGATTTACTCTTATCCATAAATCTTTATATCTAGAATATATATATATATATATATATATATATATATATATATATATATATATATATATATATATATATATATATATATATATATATATGTATATATATATATATATATATATATATATATGTATATATATATTATAATATATAAGAATAATTTTTTTTTTTTTTTGAATATTTTATTTTTGTATTTTGAATTGAAAAAATTAGAATATATGATTATATACTTACCGCATTTATGTTACTAACAAAATATTATTACTAATTGTCCAGAATATTTACTTTTAACTTTTTTAATTAATAATGTAAATCTACAATAAAATTTAGTAATTTCTATGAGGTAGGAATTTGACAAGACCCAGTTATAGTAGCTCAAAGAACAATTCAACGGTGTAACAATTTACTACTGCAAGAAATTCTATTTCTTGTAGTAGTAAATTTTTTTACAATAATTATTTTAAAATTGATTTTTTAGATTAATAAAAGTTAAAATAATTTAAATATGTATAAAGAAGAAAAACGTGGTAAGAAAACAGAAAGAGAAAAAACACTAAGGTCTAAAAAAGAAACTATTCATTATCAAAGAAGCAAAACCAGCAATAAAAAGTAATAATTAGTTTTATAATAAATTCCTTAAGTTGAAAACTTTTTATTTCTTCTTTTTTGTAATTAAGGCTGTCAGCTTCCAACAGGAATAGAGATATTGCAGCACATAGCTTACAATCATTTTTGCCAAGAACATCTTAAAAAGCCACTATTCTTGCTTGTCCTACCTAAAAAAAATTTCAAAGATGTGCAATCAAAAGTGAAAATATATTTTGGCCAAGGTACAAGAGCCATAGATTAAAGTTGGATTTTCTATACTAAACGATCAAAGTCTAGGGAAAAATCTTTCAAATCTGGACAATGTATATTCAAAACTTAAGAAGCATGAAAAAAGGGGATCTGCTGCAGATTTGGCACAACAAGAGTTTAAGGTTTACCTGAACAAGAAAGAGAAAGCAGCGTGTGAAACAACAATATAAAGAATTACAGAGTACAACTAATGTTGAGATTGATACAGATACTAATGAGGACTCCTCATGTGATTATGATTTTAATCCTGGAGAGTGGTTTGAAAGAAAACTGTTTCAACAAAGTCACTGTTGAAATTCCCATTGATATTTTTCCTGGTAATGTGGCTCTTATGGCTACAATCAGTGATATTTTTCCAAGTGTTTTGCATAATGTTACAGATGCAATTCTAACTTAATCAGAGGCTGATCTGACAGATTTCAAGTGTAGCCAGTCTACAGCATCTAGAAAAATAAAATATGCCAATCATAATATATGCATGATATCAAAAGAAGATGTTCAACAAGCAATGAATGAATCCTCATACCCACACATAGTGCATTTTGATGGCAAAACATTAATTGAACTAAACAAAGGAAAAACAATTAAATCTAATAGACTGGCTGTACTTGTAAATACTGAAGGTGATACACTCCTGCTTAAAGTACCTCCATTAGCATCATTCTCTGATGAAGATCGGTGCAATTGTGTAATGGACCTTCCTAAAGATTATTCTTAAGTCCATAATACAAAGGAGGAAAAAGGAGGGGGGGGGGAATAAAGGTGGGGGAGTTAATAAAAGGAGGGGGGGATTTTTTATGCAATAATATGAGAAATAAATTAAAAAATAAATTAATTAAAAAAATTTATCTCAATAAACCAAGATTTAATTGTTCAGTGATTTTTAAAGCCTGTTTACACTAAAAATTTTTGTTTTTATCAGTGACTGAAATAATTGTTTTCTAATTTTCAGTTTTTTTTTTGATAACAAGTAAAAACTAATATATAGGGAGGGAGGGGGGCTTATAAAGCTTGGGTTGGGTGGGAAAATTATCAAAAAATTAATAAACGTCCCCCCCCCCTTTTTTTTTTTGTTCGGAACTTGAGAGAACAAGAAAAAGTAGGAGGAATATGTTTTGATACTACTTTAAGTAACACTGGGTTAAAGAAAAGTTCATTAATAAGAATATCCAACAATATAGGCAAACATCTTTTACTTATTGGATGCAGACATCATGTATGTGAATTAAGAATGGTTCGTTTTTGTAATTTAGTTTCAGATAAACTTTCAACAGAACCAGATAATCCTATGTTTAAAAAACTAAAAACTGTTTTTGAATGTCCTCATTTTAACTACAATCAAACAGAACTAATAAAGTTTGATTGGAAAGCAGTAAGGGGAACTTTTTCTTGAAAAAGCTGCACAAGCATCTTTGAACTTTTGTCAAGAATAAATTACAAAGGGAAAATAAAATAAAATATTTTATCAGAGAAGATAGAAAGGAGCTTACAGAACTTGTTGTGAGTTACCTTTTTTCCGTCTTCAGAAAAACTAAGAAAACCCGGAGCAGTTCATTATGCTAGGTTTCTAATCAAAGCACTTTACTACCAAAAGCTTCTTCCAGCCAAATTGAGTTCGCAAATCAGAACAATAAACTCAAGACAGAAATCAGGCTAATTAGTGAATGATATTTACAGGTTAATGACGCTATTAGAGCTCTCTTTTTTGATACAAAAGCAATACACCAAATGTAACAGTACCAAAAACTTTGTGCCAAACCAGATGCTGTTGATGCAGTTTTAAGCTCTCTATACAAACATAGTTGGGATTTAGATTCAACAATGATTCCTCTTGCTCTGTTGGATGATGTCATTTGAAGAGAAAGCAAACCTTGCAAAGGTTATTCTAACTTTTAAAATGCAGATTTCAACTTGGTATAATACTAAAAACAAATCAAAAATAGATATAAAGAATAAAAGAAAAATGGGAAAAAAAATTAGTGAAAATCCTTCTTTCCTTGCTCTGTTGGTTGATGAATTTTCATATCTTATGTTTGATAGAGTTAGATTAGAGGAACAAAGGATAAAAGATTGGCTTTTTTTTCCCCCTGAGTATTGGTTTACTCAATCTGTTTTTAAAAACTTTCAGAATTATGCCAAATCTTTAATTGTAGTAAATGATCATTCAGAAAGATTTGTTGGAATGATGCAGCAGTTTATTCACCGATATAACAATGAGGAAGATAAATAGAATACATTGCTAACTTTTGAAAAAGTTCGGTGTGCTTACAGAACATCTGAAAGACATTAAAACTTTCTAAAAGTAAATTTATTGAAAACTTATCTTCTCTTGATAAAAGGAAGAAAAGTGGTGAAAATAAACATGAACACAACTAAATTATTTGCTCTTGAAATTTAATCCATTAACATGAAACTATCATCAAATATTGTAATTTTTTCAATTCAAAAGAGAAAAAATATAAATATTTTTTGAAAAAAAATATGAAACCATTTATTTTTACTCAGATATATAGGTAAAAATAAACAACCACAAAAAAAAAATTTCAAATTTTTGTAATTAAAGTTTCCCCTCGGGACCTGTGGAATCAGCAATTTTTAAAGGTTTTTGAGAATTTTTTTTTTAAAAAAGTGCTTATGGGGGAAGGTGGGGATTGAGTTAAAGGAGGTAAGGATTGAGCAATCCTATTGAGCTCAAATTTTGAATTCCTATTGAAGGGGGTAAGGATTGAGTAGTCCTATTTAGCTCAAATTTTTTGGGAATCGTTTTTTAATATTTGCCCCAAATCTAGAGTGAATAGTATTTTAAATTTGAAAATTTCCTCAAATTGGCTACCCCTAATATATATATATATATATATATATATATATATATATATATATATATATATATATATATATATATATATATATATATATATATATATATATATATATATATATATATATATATATATATATATATATATATATCGATGCTTTGTACACTTTTATTTTTTACCAAATGCCAAATCTATCATTTTGACATTACGAGGTAAAATTTTTATTTAAATAAGTTTTTTTTTAAAAGGTTAATATAGAAGACAGGAAAAAGTTAAAAAAAATTTAAAATATATATTTTCATAAATTGATAGACTGTTTGACAAAACCAATACCCTCAAACAACTTTTTCTTTTTAACCACTTTATTAAAGTCATCCTCATTTTCTAATAAGGATCCTAGGCATAAGGTTCTATCTTTGGTCCTGTTTTGTTTTTTATATACATTAATGATCTTCCTGACAACCTTGTGGCTCTATTTGCTGATGACCCATTTATAGTCCTGTCTTTACAAAAAGTCTTCTCTTTTTGAATGCTTCGATCATGCAGCCAATCTTGAATCTGATCTCACTTCTGAAACAGATTGTTAATTTTAATTAAATAAACTTAATAATATTTCTGCATTGAACGACCCATAGGAATTAGTGACCATTAGGTAATTCTTTTTACTCCTAATTTGAGCTAATTACATAACAATGATGAAATTTTAGCTCAGCAGTTCTACTGTTGGAAAAATGCAGATTACCAAGCAATCAATTTAACTCTGACATCAATAGGTTGGAGTTGTATCTCATAAACATGTTTTAATATTGAAGATTGTTGGCAAACCTTCATTTCTATAAAGTGTGTGTCAGTATTGATCATAATTCACCACATAGAGTACACTATCCTCATTATGTTAAAAAATTAATAAGCTACATAACAATTGCATGGAAGAAATTAAAAATATCAGGTAAACTTGGTGACAAAGCAGCTTATAAATTGATTGCCTAAAAATATTCTGATGTAAAAAAAAAAGTATCATGCAGCAAATAAACTAAAGATGATAGGAAAGGACAACCTTTGTAGTTTCTATAATTTTGTAAATGGCAAACAAGTAGATAACTTGGTAAAACAAGTAGTAAACTTTCTACTAGTAAAACTAGTAAAAAATGGTAAAACAAGTAGTAAACTTTCTCAAAATAAGAAATTAATATACTTTATTTTTAACAATTTGCAAGTAATTTTCAAATAGATAATGGTTTCTCACCTAAGTTTAGAGATGTGTACATGCACATACACACATACACATAAATGTACATTCAGCATGTCTGTGGTCTATTAACTCCCATCCTTCAGTAGCAAAAAAAGCATCGAGGGTGCTTAAAACTAACCCCATCTACTGGTTTGGATGGCATTCAAAATGTTCTACTAAAACAATGCGCCAATATCTTAGCATCTTCCTAAAGCCATCTTTTTGATACCTCATTTAAAACTGGTGCTTTACCTTTAAACCGGAAAGTAACAAACATCATTTGGATTCATAAAAAAGGAACAAAAATTGACCCAAATAATTATCTATCTCTTTGATATCTACTTTGTTATTGTGTAATCTTATCTCTTTGATACCTACTTTGTTATTACGTAATGGAAAAAATTAATTATAAAACTGATAAATTATCTTTTACTTAACAACCTCATCGCAAACTTTTGTCAAAAGATCATCATCGTTTCTCTCCACTAAGGCAGCGTTATTTTTATTTATTTGCTTTTTTGCGCTTGTCACAAATACGTCTGAACAAGAGCGGATATGTTTGAGGTGACTCACTCTTGCACATATTTAAAAAACGCTAATGCGAGGGTCAGGATCAAGCAGAGGCGATTTTATGGGAAGAAAAAAGGTGATTTTCCAAAGAAGGTGATTTTCAAGTTATATGCATACATTTTGTATATATTATTTACATACATAGTTACATTAATACATCTTGTAATAAAGTTGCATGCATACATTTTGTAATAAAGTTACATACATACATTTTGTATATATAAGTTTTCCTCTTTTTTTTAATATAAGGTTTTACATTTACAAATATTGGATTTTTTATTTTTTTTATAAATTATAACAGAGAATATAATCACCATATCAATAAGAATAAAAATAACAAAAAAAGAAATAGGTTAGTTCAAATAAAAGCTTGGTGTCTGATTGAAGATCTAATGGTTTTGTCGCCAGAACAATAAAACGTTAGAATAAAATATAACTTAAGCCATTAACAAATATAAAAAAATAAAGATAACAAAATATAAAAACAAAAGAGCGTGTTTTTATATGAATTTCTTATTTTTAAAAATATTTCAAAATATTGTCATTAAAAAGAATGAATTCTTTTAATTTCTTTTTAAAAACTGGAATGGTAATTGATAGATCAAAATTAGGTAAAACGTTTTTTTTCGAGAGATTAAGTGTACGTTAAGCTAACATAAAACATAATATTTTATATGCATTAACTTCATAAATATTAAGTACTTTAATACTTTTAAATAAAAACTTTAAATACATAAGTTGATTTTCAAAATTAAGTTACTGCGTGTTTCTGACAATGATAAACGCAACTTACTTTTGCTAGTACTTCCAAGCAATATTTGCATAGTTAATATTTGCATGGTTTTGTTTAAATAACTTCTTGACTTATAGAAGACTTATATATTTTTAGAAACATTAGTGCAAATGTAGTCAATATGCGGTTTCCATGTAACATTCTCTTCAAGATAAATGCCAAGAAAACTAGTAAAAGTTTCCTTTTTTTATTTCAAACTCATCAATAAGAATTTTAAGCATGGTTGTTAGTAAAAAACGTTTATTAGATATAGGGTGAAACAGAATGTATTTTGTTTTATCAAAAGCCTAAGGTCAATTTGTTACATTTAAACCACTCAGATACGCATTTAAGTTCTTTATTCATATCAGAAAGCAGCTCATTAATATTACTGTTTGATAAGAATAAACTTGCATCAGTAAACATAATACTCCGAAGATTAGCTGCTTTACTTAAATCATTAATATAAATTAAAAATATAAGAGGACCTAGAATAGAGCCTTGTGGAATACCACAGGTTATTTTAACATAGTCATTTTAAAGACCATCATTAGAATTAACAATTTGCTTTCTATTTGATAAGTAACTATGAAACCATTTTAGCATATTGTTATATGCTAAAATTTTGGTATGTAGTATACTATTTTGGTCAAAATATTTAAATATTCTATTATATATTATTCTTTCTAATAATTTTGAAAAAGTTGAAAAAACCGAAATTGGGCAATAGTTGTTAATGTTTGTTTTATTGCCTTGTTTTTAAATTGGTATATCTTTCGCAATTTTCAATCGATCTGCGAAATCTCCTTGTTTTATAGATACATTAAATACTTTATAAAGAAGATCTTCTAGACGTTCATAACAATCTAGAACTATGTTACCATTTACTTCATCAGCACCAATAGCTTTTTTTCTTTTTAGCGATTTAAAGGCTTTATCGAGCTCGTCGTGGGATAATTCAGAAGAATACTCATTGTTATAATGAGAGTTATTTATAGGACACATGTAGTCTTCAAAGGAATTCTCGGTCAATTTTTTTAGAGAGATTGGTTCCAATTTCAGTAAAAATATTGTTAAATATGTTTACAATTTTGCTCGGTTCACATATATTTACATCTTCAAATTTTATTGTTTACGGTAAAGAATTATTGTTACGGTAAAGTGATTTTTTGATTTTCCTGTTATTTATTTTATTATTTGCCAGGTGCGCGTTGAGTGTTTTTAAACTTATTGATCAGGTTAGTATAGTAACTTTTTTTTTGATTTTTACGAATTTTTTCAAATAAATTTTTATTACTTTTATAAATTTTTTCATTTGCAGAAAATTAAATATTTTATATACAACTTTGGCTTTATTTGGGAAGATTTTTTTAAGCCTTTTGTAATCCAAAGAATATTAAAGGGAAAATAAGGAAGTGGTCCGATTTATCAGTTTTTATACCTTTTTGGATGGAGTTATTAAATATGTCGTAGTAAAAATATTGTCAATGAGGGTAGCAGGGTTTTTTGTTACTCTAATTGGATGATTGGTTAGGGGAATTGCGCATGCTAAAAAAATTTCATCATAAAAACTTTTCACTTTTTTGTTGTCATTATAAATAAAACAGTCCATATTTTACAATCCCCAATTATAAAGTTTTTTTTCGTTCGTTGTTATCAGCAAACAAATAAGAGCTACAATTTTTGCACGCACCGTCAGGTGGCCAAGGGCAGCCGCCCAAAGCGGCTCGCCGATACTTGACTACCAGTAAAATATCGATAATTTATCGGCTTGCCATTTAAAGCGACTGCCACAAGTGGTCCACTAAGTAACCGATGAACAAAACTCCATTAAACTGCTAAAAAATGCCTTGACTGCCAGATGGCGTGAGCGAGAACTTGAGCATGTTTTTACAGCAAAAAGTTATTGCGAAAGATAGCAACGAAAAAAAAAAACTTTTTTAATTGGTGATTTTAATATGAATTGTTTTGACTACAATGACGATAACAAAGTTAGAAATTTTTATGATGCAATTTTTGAATCTGGAGAAATTCCTTGAATAAATTGTCCAACAAGAATAACAAAAAATTCAGCAGCTTTGCTGGACAGTTTTATTTCTACAGACTTGTTCAACAGTGATATAAAATTGGGCAGATATTTCTGACCGCCTAAACAAAAATTAAAAAGTTATAAAAAAACGTTTTTTTAAACCATCAAATATTGAGTCTTTCAAAAATCAGCTTTCATTGTTACAGTGGAAACACTTAAATTTTAATAAAAACGCAAACAACTTTTATGAAAAGTTCTTTGAAACATTCACCTCTGTTTACGAATCTAATTTCCCAATTGTTACAATTACATTAAAAACAAAACACTTTAGTAATCCCTGGTTACCAAAGGATTCAAAAAATCATGCAAAACTAAACAAAAACTATACTTAAAATATCTGAAAACAAAAACACCAGCTAGCAAAAAAATTTACAAAGATTACAAAAATCTTTTTGAAAAAATTTGAAAAAATTAAAAGAAAAATTTACTATTCAAAATTAATTAATAAAGTTAAAAATGACTCAAAAAGCACTTGGCAAGTATTGAAAGATATTACTGGAAAACAAAAAAACATGCTCAAGCTCTTTGCCACAAATGTTTAAAGTCGACAACAATAGCTTGTTTGAACCACAAATAATAGCTCTTGAATTCAATTAATATATCACTGAAATTGGATCAAATCTTTAAAAAAAAAATTAAGCACCTGGTGCAGATGAAATAAACGGAAATGTTGTTACAGATTGCTACGAACTATTAAAAAGCATTATTTTTAAAATTTTCAGAGGCTCTATCCATTAAGGTATTTTTCCTGAACGTTTTAAACTTGCCAGGGTTTCCCCTATTCATAAAGAAGGGGATAGATTCAATATCAGTAATTATCGTCCCATCTCTGTTCTTTCTATATTTTTTAAAATTTCCTAAAGAATTATATTCAAAAGGGTATAAAATTATTTTAATTGCAACAACTTACTTCATAACAATCAGTATGATTTCAGTAAAGGGAGTTTAACTGAACATGCCATTATTCAATTTATTCATAACATCTCTGAATCTTTTGAAAAATCCCAATATACACTAGGTTTTTTTATTGACCTATCAAATTTGATACGGTTTTTATTGACCTATCTATTTTGGTACAGTTGATCATCACATTTTAATCCAAAAAATTAAACATTATAGTTTTAATCAATAGAATCTCAAAATGGTTTGAAACAAAACGGATTATCTTTCACTCCTGTGCAAAAAAACGTTTTTTACCTAGTAATATGCCACAAATTTATATTGATGAAACAATAATAAAAAGAGATAATATTATAAAATTCTTAGGTGTTAAACTTGATGAGAATATTACTTGGAGAAAACATATTAACCATATAAGCACAGAAATTTCCAAATATATTGACATTTTATACAAACTTATCTAATCATTTTAGATAAGTTTGTATAAAATGTCAATTAAAAATTTTATACGAAATTATCTAAACAAATAAAACTTAACCCAACTCTATTATTCATTTATACATAATTATATAGGGAGCGCGTCGAATAACCGAAAGACCAATTCCGACGATTAGTCGATCCCAAAACCCGAAAATAGAAGAAACACTTTCCGATTCCAGTCGAAAGTCATTTTAACTGTAAAAAATAAAATGTCTACTATTATTCACTGGTTGCCACTAATAATAGTAGAATTCTTCTAAATTTTGTCATAGTCTGTTTAATACACGAATTTTGTACAGTCCAAAAAATAGTCGATACCCTAAATTTTGTCAATTTCTGTGTTTTAGTCGAATTCGGCCACTATCTGTTAAATAAACGAATGACAAATACCTGATTTGAGTCGAATTTTTTCTGAAGAATTGGTGGACTTGTTAAATCATCGAAATACGTATTGGCAAAGAATACAAACAGTCGAAAATGTTTTCGGCTATTATACGGGTATGCCACTATTTTTAGTAGAAAGACAAAAATACATTGTCCATGTCCGTTAACCAGTCGAAATTAAAATTCGGCTATTCTCTGTGGCTGCCACATAAACCAGTCGACGGCTATAAAAATTTGGCAGCGTCATCAAAAGAGTCGAATTTAATTAAACCGGTCGAAAAATTAATTAAACCATCCAAACCATCGAATTTTGACTATAACCACTAGCCTGTACGTATTTTGAGTCGAAATGTCAGGGTTTTTTTTGAAATAAAAACATTTGTTTTAACCGTCAATCACTTCTTATTTATTTACAAAGGTTTAGGATCGTGAATATTCTCACAATCCGGAGTAGTTTTACTATGAATATGAATTATCATACATAGTATTACGGTAATACGGTTTATAAAATGAATGGGCCGTCGCCTCAATAGCCCTAAAAAATGGTAATGTCTGAACCTGCGCGAACGCATCAGTTCATCATTGGGTACGGACCATTGTAAGGGCCCGGAGGCAAAGTTGTCTGAAAGTTTTATCCAGGCCATCAATAACGCATCCATCCATCGATTGGCTACAGTTTGTTTTTGCCTTTCATTTTGTTGTTACCTGGATGCAAGTTACTTCTCGTTGTCGTAATATTACTAATGATCAGTTCATTTGATTTAATTCAAGTTTAAATTCAGTAGATTATCAAAGAAAACATAAATACTTGGTCTATCTCATTAGTTGCGATGTGCGCCATCTGTTGATCTTGAAGATCATAGACAAGTCCATAGATAGCGCCCTCTGGAGATAGATCATAAAAATGACAAAGGTTGATGGCACAGGTCCCGGCAAATGTCGAGACCATTAAAAATAAGCAAATAACCATTAGGTTCTATTCGCCATTAAGGAAGATACTTTAAACTATGACAATCACATTAACCGTCTATAACGTATAATACTAAACCAATGAGTATTTTACTATTTTGAATGCATTTCATACATTACTACTTTAAAGTACAGGCAGGGTCTTCGTAACTAATAGTATGGACAATGGATAATTTGCTAAAAGTTATGTTGACAGTGGGGCCATAGTTAATTAAATAGTTTTTATTTAATTAAAAATGGTTTAGTAATTCCAACGCCATCTTACAAAAAAAGAACAAGGTTTAAGATCGTGAATATTCTCACAATCTCAAAATATAGATTCTTCTTATTAATCAAAAAAAATAAAAACAATCTCGACCTGGCATCGGATTCGAACCCAGGACCTTTCAATCATGGGGCCGGTACTCTGCTGCCGATGCCAGCTTGAGATCGCAAAATTTATGAATGGTTTTATCACAATGATAAAAGACAAATAAAAGAATCATGGTTATGAATCATTTATTGTACTTATTATGCTTACGAACAACTTATTTTCTTCCGGCTTGCATTTGTCTGACTTTTCTTGAGACAATACGTCTTTTGTCGACTATCTTATTGGCGGTGTCCTTCAATCCTCTTTCTAATAGAAGCAATTTGTAAAGTTCTGATATGTTTCTTCGGTTTTGTCTGATTTTTCTGGCAACTATACGTCTTTTGAAGTATAATTTCCTTTCAATCTTCTTCAGTACTCTGTCGACTTGAAGCCAGATCTCAAGGGGTCCCATCTCAAGCCTGTTAGCTGTAGTGAAGTTGTTCAGTCCTTTTTCAACTTCAAGCCTGTCCTGAATCAGGAGGTCTTCAAATAGTGGGTCCGGTGCAATGCTTGTTGTTTCTGTAGTATTTATGACTGGCCAAAGACCAAATGCCAAAGGCCAAAGACCAAAGATGTTCATGGTGAAAAAATTTAGCTTCAACTACAAATAGTTAACTGTTCATCTGAATAACGCGGATAAACTGGCGTACATTTAGCGTTAGCATCTTATCAGTTGTCCAAAGTAAATATGAGTTACGAATAACTCCCCCCAGATTGAGCACAGAGTTTTGAAAAATAACAAAAACAGATCAACCGCTTGTGAAACGGCCTATTTTTCGCTGGGGGGAGTTTGTACAAATCAGCTGACCAGTTTATCCTGACCCATTAATTCCCTTAGTCCCTTAAGGCATTTCTCTCTCTCTCTTTATGAATGTTTTTTTAAACAAAAAACAAAACCTAAATTTCGAATCCCTGTCAGGACTCGAACCCCGGTCGTCCGGGTGAGAAGCGAGTACTTTAACCACTAGACAGGAACCCCAAAGAGGTTCCAAAAAATGAAGTATTTTACAGAGACCCCCAAGGGGTTAGCCTACAAAAGTTTCTTCTTCACCCGCGGTACAAAATGTACAAAACTCGGGAAATCATAAAAGTGTTATCAAAGGTACAATCTGTTTATTTAGTCAATTTATAAGAAAAATACATGAAAAATGAAAGTAGATGTAAAAATAATAGGAAATAGAAAGCCATTTCCAGTCAATTTTTTCAGGCGCAGAACAGCCGATGTCGCGAAGTAACCCGTGTCCTACATACGGGGCACAAATAGACGCCCTCGGGTTCATTGTCAAGTCCTTGGGCTTCGAGAAGGGCTGCACATGTTGAACACACGCAGACATGCCCGCACGGCAGTAGTATTGTGTCCTTGGGGCTCGCCATGCAAATGCAACACGGTTCTGCTGCTGGACCTGCGGCGGCGGGACCTGCGGCGGCGTGACCCGGTTGCTGTTGTCCATCTGCCTGTGGCCCTGCGGCTGCCAGGAATGCGTCATCATCTCCGTGTCTGAAAGTATTGAACACATTTTAAAGATAAGTTATTAATGAACACATTTTAAAGATAAGTTTCATATGAAATTAATCAACATCGTATTATAAATAGAAATTACTAGAAAATGATTGAAATTATACTTGGTATACTTACTCGTCAAAGACTTCGTCGTCACCATCCTCATCATCGGCGTAGCTATCGGCGGCCATTTCTGCTGCCAGCTCTGCATCGGCCTCATCCTGATCTGGGTCATTTGGAAGAACCGGAGTGGGCACTCTGTGGGCCATAAAATGGAGGTGTTGAATGGGGGTGATTTTCCCATTGGCCATTCGCTCCTCCTGATTCTTCACAGTTCTGGCCGTTACCTGGTTTGATAATTTGATGTTCCTCCGGATCCTGATGTTGTTGTCCAATTGTAGGACATCGATCTTTGCTGGCTCGATGACGAACATCCTCAGATCTGAGAGGAATCTCCAGATTGTCGACGCCTTTGCCAGCTTCAAAGACATTCTGAAAAATTTGGGAAAAGTTATAAATAATGAACAACAAAAATAACCAGATCGTGAATATTTTCACATTGTTAACTCAAAAATATTGTTAAGAAATAACTCACTTCTTATGGAGACTTTCGCAGACGTTGTTGGTCTTATGTGCAAGACCGTACGTAGAGATCAGCTGGGGCCCGATGCCTTGGAACCACCACTTTAAGAAGTAATTCCTGTGCATTATCTGGACTTGCTTCCGGAGCCTGAGTGGAGCACTTCTTGCTTCAGCTGTTGGAATACGGGTACCATTTGGTTCGCCGGTAGAGTGCTTAGGGCCATGTGTTTGAGCATCAGATTCCTAAACTCAACATTTTTATAGAAATCCTCCTTGTTGCGAGCACACACTTTCCGGAGAACTAAAAAGAAGTAAATAACAAATATAAATAACGTGTTAAAAATCAATTAAATGGTTAAAATATTATTTACCTGCTTGGCTGAAGTGAAATCTGCATCCAGACACTCTCGATTCCGGAAAGGCAGTTTGCATGGTGTTCAGGATCGCCCGTTCGTAGTCCGACATCACACTTTTTGGCTTGAAGTCCAATCCAACCAAAGCTTTGAACCGCTCCATGATCTGGCCGTAGAGTGCTTGCTCCTTGCATGTCATTAAGACATGCATCACCGCGACAGAGTAATCTTTGTAGATGACAATGATGTTCAACAGTTGAGAAAAGATATCGTGGTGAGGCCGTGTTTTAAAGGTGGCATCGACGAAGAGTTCTTGAGTCTCTGAAACAAATACCCAAAATTATAAATTTGTTTAAAAGTAATTGTACAAAGATAAAAAAGTTGTTGTATCTAACCCCTTTAAAACAATTTAAAATTACCCAAAATGATAAATTTGATAGAACATAGTATTAAAACAACTCGTAAATTAAAGCAGTGTACTCACTTTCAACGAGAGCGAGAAGTTTTGGGTCTGCAAAAATGAATCCGACGTTCCCATCTTCGAATTCGACGAAACCTTGGTAGATGTCTTCGAACGGATGTCCATTGTCGAGAGCTTCCTTCATTTCTGCCAGATTCTTGGGAATCGGAGGCAGGTTCTTCCTCCGCTTATTCCTCATGATGGACTCGGCAGCCTCGAACTTGAGGTTTTTCTTCACGGCCTCAGTCGACTGGCTAAGGACAGAGTTCCAAATGTCCCTCAGCGGTTCGGTTGTTTGCCCTAGAATAAAATGAATTTTTAATTAAAGATTTTAATTAAGTTAAAAATGTTAAAATTCGATTATTCACATTGGCAGACATATGTTTTCAGTCGAAATATGGCTTAATAAAAAATTCAAAAACAAATATTACCAGCTCGAAATTTCATCCGTGCTTTGGCCTGCAAAATAAGGTACTCATCACTCATGTCGCCACATGAGTGATCCTTCCCCAGGTACAGGGTATCGTCCTTAATCCTTGCAGTATCACCACATGAACCTAACAGGGTTAAATGGGGATCCCGTTAAATGTTAAGATACAATCATGATAATGGTAATGATAATAATTCTAAGATCGTGAATATTTTCACGAGTTAAAAAAAGTATCCTATTAAACAATTAAAAATTACCTCTTTTCACCGTGTAGCGATGGCACTTTAGATAAGTTGTTGGTCGCTTTTTACGCTTTTTGGAACTCGTCAAACCAGATAGTTGGGGAGCCTTCCATTTCATATCTGGTGTAGTTCCAGACTTCAACAACATTATGAAAGCGAGCTGGCCCAACCACTGGTTCTTGCACTTGAGCCTCTGGTGCTTGTCGAGGCTCAACCTCCATCGGCATCGCAGCCTCCACCTCCTCGACCTCCATTGCAACAGGTGCCTGAGCTTCGACCTCCTCAACGGTGTCGTCCAGCCTCAATTCGAATGCAGACGTTCAACCACAGACATCAAAAGCCGTCACGAAAATGGTTGCTATTTCATTGTTGGTAACTAATTTTTTTTTAAGTACAAATCGTGGTAGACTATTTTCAACGTTCAACCACAGACTTCAAAAGTGTTGGGAATTAATTAGACGAAAGCTAAAATCTGAGATGACCCATACAAATACAACGCGACACATGTACCCTTAAGGGGAAAAAATATATATATATATAAAACCTAATAACCTACTCAGTACTCGAACATAATAATATGAAGTCATTGTACTTACAAGAATTTATGTTATGTAAATAGGTAGATAATACTAAGTCAAAGCCAAACATGCATAACTGAGTCCTAGTATAAGGCTAAGTACATGGCTAAGTAATAATTTCAAAACAAAAAATATAAAATACGAAAATTATGAGCTGTTATTCATTAAAATAAGTAATAATAAATCAAAAGAAGATAAAGTTAACCTTACCATAGCTTTGTTAAACGAGAAAAGAGAATTCATAACATGTGCAAATTAAAAAACTAAAGTGCATCACATGTATGACGTAAGTTGCGGTAAAATGGTGAAAAGTGGAAACAATAGAAAATATGCGTTTTGAGTAAAATTTAAGAAGATTTTTATGTGATTCTTAAATGCAAGCCGATTGTTTGACAAATTGTCAGGTGTTTTATGATTGTTGTTCTGAGTTTGGAAGAGACATATTTAAAGAAACGAGTAAAAAATATTCATTAAAAAACAAATTCTTGGAGCACTATTATATTTCAAAACCTAATTTTACAGAACATCAATTCCCGATGCTGACCCTTCGTCTTTCAAGAAGGCGGCAATCGACAGCCTATTTTCTCTTTGCTGCTTTGCAGCCCTGCGAAAGTTACTTCCGCGCCTTTTTCTTGTCCCCCTAGTTTTTCTTTCGGGGCATAGTGTGGAGACAAATCCCTCTTTACTTCCCTCGTTGCTCGGTGTCCTGTCGTTTATTTTAATATTGGGGCATGGTGTAGGGATAATGTCCTCTTTATTGTTGGTCGGTGTCGTGTCAGCTGTTTGAGGGTTCTACGGAGAAAGACACACATGTACATATGCACACAAACATATACACACATAGATACAGCCATACATATATACATCAATAGACACACATAAATGTATGAACCCACCCAGATACATACACACACATACATAATTTCATACATACACACAGTAGCTCTTACTATTATGGTCTTACCCAAAGGTTAAACTCACAGAGCAGCATTAGAGAAGACAGCTGACCGATTTACTTATAAAGCTGACCGCTTTTATTATCTGTTCTTTAAGTAAATTCGCGCGAACATGTTCTCAATATATTTACTTATAAATCGTCACTTTATTGTCTAGGAATGGTTGTTTATTATATATAATAGGTTATTATACTAACTGTGTTATGATATTATTTGTTATTACATTACCATTATTAGTCTATATTTTATTTTCGATAACATCTCTATTATTCCAGGCAAACCTAGAGTTGTATATATTATAAAATACTATCGCAGCCATAACCCAAACCCTTAGATCAAGGAGATACTCCCTTACGTGTTCACCCTAAATCAGTCGAAGGTTGGACTGAAGCTCTCACAGCTCCCTAAGTTATTATGACGTAATCAGCTACCATAATGTCGGTACTAATAAAAATAATAAAAATTTAAATTATTTATGTATAAAACGATAACACTAAGTCATAGAAACAAGGTATATGTAAGTTCTAGACGGGGGGGGGGGGGGGGAGGGACAGATATTTCTACTAAAACGGTAATTATAAACTATAATTAGGGGAATACGCATCTTTCTACTAAAACCAAACCAAAAACCCAAAAAAAGGGGGAATAGAATATTTCCACTAAAACGGTAATAATAATAAACAAAAAATTGGAAAAAACGAATATTTCGATATAAACGGTATTAATTGTGAACTGAAATTAGGGACAAACGTATATTTTTACTAAAACGGGCTATCTACAACTAAAATTGGGGGCAAACGAATATCTCCCCTAAAACGGTATTAATTTTATCTATAAATGGGAGGAAAACGAATATTTCCACTAAAACGGTATTATTTATAAACTAAAATTAGGGGGTAATGAATATTTCTACTAAAACGGTATTAATTATAAACTATAATTAGGGGAATACGCATCTTTCTACTAAAACCAAATAAATGTTGGGGGAATAGAATATTTCCACTAAAACGGGAATAATTTTAAACAAAAAATTGGAAAAAACGAATATTTCCATATAAACGGTATTAATTATGAACTAAAATTAGGTACAAACGTAGTTTTTTACTAAAACGGGCTATTTACATACTAAAATTGGAGGCAAACAAATATCTCCACTAAAACGGTATTCATTTAATCAAAAATTAATTTAATTAATAAAACTAAAAGTAGGAAAACCAAATATTTTTCTACTGAAACAGTTAAAATGTATTATCGAAAACTACCACAACTCGGATAACATCACTAAACTAAATAAAACATCACTAAACTAAACTAAATAAAACATCACTAAACTGAGTCTAACTAAAAAGGAACTGACAGGACATTATTACAACAGGCACCTTACACTGAATTGGACACTGGACAATATCCTACTCTGAACCTCACCTCTTTATACTGGACATCTGTCCTAATATTATAATAACTCTAGCACTCTCTAGCACTTACGTAAAGTATTTCTATCTTTCCTCAAAACTATAACGGCCCAGCGTGTTCCAAACAAGTGGTGGAACTTTAATAGCTTCCACTGCGAAACAATTGAAAAATCAAAAGCAAAAGGAAAAGCAAAAGCAAAAAGCACCGCAAAACTACCCCGTCCAACTCGTCTACCTCTTCTGACGAGGAATCGGACGCTTCGAATACTTCTAGAGATTCAATTTTGAATCCTAGAAAGGCTGGGAAAGGGAAAGGGAGGAAAGGGAAAAAGGGTAAGGCTTTGCCGTTACCTCCCCGCACTGCAACATGGCGGTCAGCTTCAGACCTTCCTCCCGCAATTCAACAAGACATTTTGTCAACTTATGGTCACTATCAATTTTCAAAAATTTTGGACCCGCAAATTCGTGAACACATTGGGAAACTCAAACCCTCTAAATGGACTTTACTTTTGGCAAATTCTGTGGGCAGGTGTCTTGTGGACGCCTATAACCTGATTAAACTTGTTTATGACGGTAGTAGGGCCCGTCCCAAGTACACCAGCCCGCTTAGGGAACATCTTGCCGCAGATTTACTTGCCGCAGATTTACCTGATGCCGCAGATTTTGCCCCCGCAAATTCTATTTTCAATTAAATTTATTTCATTTCTTCTTTTCATTCGCTTCTTTTTCAATCATTTTCCCTTTGTTTATTTCTTTCCATTCAATTCAAAAAACACAAAAACCAAAAAAATTTAAAAATACAAAATCCAAAAACAATTTAAAATACAAAATCCAAAAAAATTTAAAAATACAAAATCCAAAAAAATTATAAAAAGCAAAAAACCCAAAAAAGATTGTAAGATGTTAATTAAAACGTAGAATAACTACGTAAAGCCGCAGTACGCACGCTCTACAACCTTTTAACCGGTAATTTTTAACATAATTTGATAGAAATTTTTAAAGATTGAGATAATATTCACGATCTTATAATGTTATTCATCAAACTTATTGGTTTAATTATAATCATCATACTTATTAGTTGCAATTTAGTATTACTTGATGGTTTTTCTTTGATTCTTTGTTCGTGTTATAATGCTAATCATCAATCGGATTGGTAGAATTTTACATTATTTTGTTGCAGGCTAATCCGGATCTTCACTTCACTGTAGCTCACTTCTACCTCCTTCTTCTAATGAAAAATCAAAAAAAAAAAAAGAGGTAAATACTACCAGTTATTAATACTGAAGACATTTTGTGAATAGACACTGTTTACATGGGTCCCGTGTATCTCTGAACCAATATTCTAAAACTTAATATTTTAAAATTCGGTTTCAGATCATCATTCAACGCGTTCGATTGGACCCGTTCGATTGGACCCGCTCGATTGGACCCGGAAACGTCTCTCCTCTCATCCAGACTTTAATTAGTTGAGGTAACGCACAACGTTCTATTTTCCAATTACATTAGTAGTCAATATTACAGTATTACAGTAATTGAACATTTAAAAAAAGTAATATTGCGTTTAAACGTTTGCATCTTTAGTTAGTTACATAACAATTAAACAACTTTTCCTAAATATTTCAGGTCTAAATCGTGTCGACAATTTGAGGTGCCCGATCGTTTGTTCGTGTCTGGAT